TTCGCCTCTCTGGTTTTCTGGTAGGCTTGCCTCAGCTCCTTCAGTTTCACGCGGCACTACTTCGGGTCCCTGTTATGGCCTCTGTCCTTCATGCCCTGGGAGATTTTCACAAAGGTTTTGGCATTTCGAAAACTGGAACGGAGTTCTGATAGCACGGATTCCTCTCCCCAAACAGCGATCAGATCCCGTACCTCCCGTTCGGTCCATGCTGGAGCTCTTTTGCGATTCTGGGACTCCATCATGGTCACCTGTGCTGATGAGCTCTGCATGGTCACCTGCAGCTTGCCACGCTGGCCAAACAGGAAATGAGATTCAAAAGTTTGCGGTTCTTTTCCTGTCTACCTGGCCAGTGCATCTGAGTTGAGAGTGCTGTCCAGAGCGGTCATAATGGAGCACTCTGGGATAGCTCCCGGAGGCCAATACCATCGAATTGTGTCCACAGTACCCCAAATTCGAGCCGGCAACGTCGATTTAAGCGCTAATCCACTTGTTAGGGGTGGAGTAAGGAAATCGATTTTAAGAGCCCTTTAAGTCGAAATAAAGGGCTTCATTGTGTGGACGGGTGCAGGTTTACATCGATTTAACGCTGCTAAATTCGACCTAAAGTCCTAGTGTAGACCAGGGCTCAAATAAACCAATAGGAATTCAACCTCTTTCTTTCCCATGAGACAAATCCTGTTCCTAAAGTTTACAGTATTTTGCCCAAAGCTGTATTACTTACAGTTGTCTTCCTTTGTACTCGAGGACTGCCAGTAATACCCATTTTAAATTAGAACCTTAGGATCCATCCGGTCCCCCATTTTACAGCTATACGTGGCACATCCTGTGCTATCAGGGTTTGATATTCTGCGATTGATTTTCAGTTCATTAGTTCACAGGGAAAAAGCGCAAGTCTCTTGAGCTTTGTGAAAGGCTGGAGCCACGCCGGGTTTCTGCAGACTGTGGGGTAAATCTCGCTGTTAGACCTTGGGCTTTTCGTCTGTCAGCTCTCTGCTCTGTCTTTACTAAAAGGTTTTATTACTTGCCTGGGTATTAAATAGCAATAACTCAATTTTGGGGCCTTAGTTATTATGGAGGTTACAGTGTTGTGTACACACTCTACCACAATCACCTCTGTATAGGCTCTTCAGGACCCAAGGAATATTCAGAGAGGCAGTGTAATCTAGTGGTTTTGATCTCAAGGCTGGGAGCAAGAAGCTCCCAAATCCTTTAATCCCAGCTTTTTTGCTCACCCACCTTGTGGCACATCTTATTCTCTCTGCGCTTCAATTTACCCCCATCTGTGAAATGGGGTAAGTCTGTTCCTGTCTCAGAGCTGTTGTGAGAATTAAAGTTTGTGTGGCACTTTAAAGATAGTACTTAGCGATTATTGTTAAATCTCTCAATCGAGAGAAAATCTATTTATACATAAGGCCTTAACGCATCCATTGGGTTTTTTGTAGGTACATTTTGTGGCCTATGAAGGTTGACTAACATCCCTTTAAATACCTGGCCAGAATTGTGTCGTCTTGTGGAACGTGCAAGATGCTGCCCAGTCCTGGTGTTTTTTATTTTCCTTGGGAGATTAACTCTGGATCAGTCGCAGATGGGGAGACACTGCGAACATTTGGCAGGTGAGAGCAGCTTTTTTCAGGCCAACACTACTTTCAACAGTGTCTCTATCACGTCTGTTTCTCCTTTTTTCTTCCTTGCAGCCTCCCAACTCACTTTTTAGGGTCCCTGATGCTGAGTTCACTGAATCGATTGTGTTTCAGGTTATACTGTTACGACGTGGTCCAGTCTGAAGCCATCCTGACAGCCCTGCGCAGCTCAGTCCAGCATCAGGTCTGTGTTTGCACCAAGTTTGTGGAACCATTCCAAGCCCAGCTTGGATCCCTGTATGTGGCTCTGGGAGAGACTGAGCAGAGGGATGGTAAGTGCCTCTTTGTTTTCTCCTTATGTGAAAGGAGGAGCTGTCTGTTTGTCTGTGGCGGGGTGGAGAAAGGAAAAAACCATGCACCGGTTAGGCCTCTGGCCTCCTTTGCTCTCCATCTCCACCCAAAGCAACTGTTGTATTAGGTGAAGAAAATCATTCAAACTCATTGTGAGACACAGCATGTTTTATGGTTAGAACAGATTCTATTCCCAACTCTGCCACTGACTTCCTGTGTGACCTTGGGCAAATCACGCCACCGCCCCATGCCTCGGTTTCCCCATGTAGAATATCCTTATCCACCTTCATAAAGTACTTTGAGATTGGCGTGTGAAAGATGCTATAGAAATGCCAAATATTATTACTTTTGTGGTTATGATAAAGGACATTTCCTCTCTATAAGATAGCCTTATCTCTGAACCCTGTGATTGCTGCTCTTTGATCGCGCTATGCAGTTAATCAGTTGGTTACAGGAAAACTGGTATACTCGGTGGAGGCTTGGGATGGCCAAGTGCAGCCCAGTGTGTTTGTGTTTCAAAGGCTTAGGAAGTGGCAACATTAGAAGACACATTTGATCTTGGAGTGATATCATTTCGCTCATTTAAAGCATAGGTGTTAAAACCAACGAGTGTATTTTAAAATGAATGTTTTAGCTGAAATGAATTGCGGTGAACTCATGTTATAGGGAGGAAGGTTGGTTTTAAAGTACAGGACTGAAAGTCAGGAGATCTGGGTTCTATTTCTGACTCTGTCATTGACTCATTATGTGACCTTGGGAAAGTCGTGCCCCGCCCCGTGCCTCAGTTTGCCCACCTGTAAAATGAGGAGGATAATTATTAGGCTAACAGTGTTGTTGTGAGGACTGATTAGCATATAAAGTGCTTGGAGATCCTCTGAGGAAAAGTGCCACAGAGACAAATTAATATTTTCTGTCCTCATCATTTGGGATTCACATAGCTCCACAAACAAGACCCGATGCTTGTGCATTGAGCAGCCAACACAGTGAGCAAGGTGCAGTTTCCACACAGCTAAAGCAGCAGGGATGTGTATCTGCACATGTACCCTAGGGAAATTAAGGATAATTCCACACCCCCCCCCCATCTTTCTATCCCAACTCTAAATTTTCAATAATTTTCAATAAATTTTCAATAGCCTGTAATTGCCTTTCCTTGTCTGTATTTTGTATTTTGCAAACACATTTAACTCACTATATTGCAACATGCTGTTTACCTTGAGCCACAGCTTAGAAATCTTTGTGTCTCTTCTCCTTCCCTCAGAGCATCACAAATACATCCTCACTCCAAGGCATGGAATGTGAGGAGTTAAAGCAATCCGACAAGCTCGGTGATGAAGGGCACCATATATAATTTGCTCTGGTGCCCTGAGGATCATTTCATTTGCATTATAAGATGTAAAAAGCAAATCTTGGCTTGGCTTTACGACTGCCAAGTGAAGCTGAGCGGCTTTGTCCCAGGCAACACCTTGTAATCATAATGATCAATGATTGGAATTCTTAATTAGTTTGAGACTTGTTACAGACATGCTTTCTAACACCGTGCCCTTCTGGATTGCCTTCCAGCTGACTGTCTCCAAGCACAGGCTAAACATGAATGATTTCAGTCTCACAGCACCACAGGGAATTGTTCCCATTTTGCGGGTGAGGCAATGAAACAGGACTAAGACCAGAAAGTCACGCAGCTAGTCAGCGACAGGGCTAGTTTCAGAACGCAGGACTCCTGGCCTGCCACAGCTCCTGCTCTATGGAACAATCTCCCCCTAACTCTCTGCTTCAGTCGCTCTCCGCCTATTTTTGAAGTTCAGCTGAAGGCCTTATTCTCTCCTGCCTCTCTCTCAATTTCTCTTTCAAGTCATAGTATGGATCAGTGGGGGTTCAGTCTTTGCAAAAGATGCTACGTAACACTTCTCCTCTTGAGAAGCTGCATTTGTTATTTTATATTTGCAGGTGAGGGGCCTGTGCTGAAGGCTCGGGTGCTGACGTGCGTGGAAGGGATGAATCTGCCCTTGCTGGAGCAGGCAATACAGGAACAGCGGCGATATTTCCAAGAGAGACAGGGGCGGGTGGAGAGCAGTGCCTCCTAGCCTTGCTGGAGGAAGGTGTTGCTGGACTGAGTCCAGGTCTCAAATGCATCACCTGCCTTCCGTCCTTCTCTGCACCCCGCTGATCTTTTGCTGTTTAGGCACCATGAGCCCCAGTCCGGTTCCGAGGTTGCTGTCCCTTTCCACAGTGTTTCAGGTTTTGGATGTTCTCCGAACGTGCATTTGCCTTAGGTGTTTTCAGGGGCTCATTTTTATCACTCGTTTCTGTCCCGTCACATCGATGGGGATGAACTAAGAGCCTGTGAAAGTCGGGGATACCAGTGGTTTAAGCGGGTTTGCCCTCACACCTCTGTCAATAAGCCTTAGACCTAACCTGAAATACCCTCCACTATTCCAGTCCTGGGCCCCACGCAGCTCTGCCAGTGCCCCTCAGTCCTGACCCTTACAAACTCCCATGGTTCCAGTGCTTAAGCCTGTCTGGAAAAGAGGCTGGGAAGCACGCTGAATTGAATGCAACTTTAAGAAAATGTGCCCAGAGGACAAGACCAAATCCTCATCCCTCAAGAGCTGAGTCAGGATTTGAACCCAGGTTTCTAGAAACAAGAAAATGGCACACCCGTTTATTACACTAGTTGGTGCATCTTTGCAGTTAAAGTCAATATCGCAGACTGAGACGAGCATGGACAGTGTCTGTTGACGTCAGTAGGAGTTGGGTGCGTGCGTTTGAGGAAGGAATTTGACGCAATGAATTCTGAAATATAAAATCATGGTGCCCCGCAGATGGAAGTTAGTCATTTGTTTCCCTCTCCTGCTCTCATCCTGTAAGGGAAAGTCCAATCTTGGGGGTGCTTTCCTTTAAGCAAACCTAAATTGTCTCTCGTTTATTATTGTATTGCACATGTTCTTTGACTGAAGTGTTCATAAATAAAGGAGATGAAAAGAGCATGCAGCCTGGTTCTGTTAGTGATTAAAAACTACATTCTTGTTAAGGGGTGTCAGGGTTCCCTCCCCACTCTGAACTCTAGGGTACAGATGTGGGGTCCCGCATGAAAGACCCCCTTAGCTTATTCTTACCAGCTTAGGTTAAAAACTTCCCCAAGGTACAAACTTTGCCTTGGCCTTGAACAGTATGCTGCCACCACCAAGTGCTTTAACAAAGAACAGGGAAAGGACCACTTGGAGTCCTATTCCCCCAAAATATCCCCCCAAGCCCTACATCCCCTTCCCTGGGGAAGGCTTGATAATAATATCCTCACCAATTGGTACAGGTGAACACAGACCCAAACCCTTGGATATTAAGAACAATGAAAAAATCAATCATGTTCTTAAAAGAAAAATTTTATTTAAAGAAAAGGTAAAAGAATCACCTCTATAAAATCAGCATGGTAAATACTTTACAGGGTAATCAGATTCAAAACATAGAGAATCCCTTTAGGCAAAACCTTAAGTTACAAAAAGACACAAAACCAGGAATACACATTCCCCCCAGCACAGCGAATTTACAAGCCAAACAAAGAAAACCTAGTGCATTTTCGAGCTAGATTACTTACTAACTTTACAGAAGTTGAAGGGCTTGCATCCTTGATCTATTCCCAGCAAAGGTATCAGACAGACAGACAAAAACCTTTCTCCCCCCCGCCCCAGATTTGAAAGTATCTTGTCCCCTCACTGGTCATTTTGGGTCAGGTGCCAGCGAGGTTACCTTAGCTTCTTAACCCTTTACAGGTAAAAGGATTTTGCCTCTGGCCAGGAGGGATTTTATAGCATTGTATACAGAAAGGTGGTTACCATTCCCTTTATATTTATGACAAGGGGCCTGAATTCATCCCTGCTGTAATTCTACTGAAGACACGGGGGAACTGAGTCAGGGTGTTCTTTAATAATGGGTCTCTTTCAAGGGTACCTGGCTTTGGAAGAGCTACGGGACGAGGACGACGTGAGACTACATCAAGGCTTGTCTACCTTCAAAACACACTGCAAGACCCATCTGTTTACCAAAGCCATACAGCTGTAAGTGAAGACAGACAAACATTAACATGGGGCGAGGAAAGAGAATGTCTGTGGGAGGGGAATAAAAAAAAAAAACAACTCAACTGCTCTAGATAACCTCCCAAGGAGAGGTGGGGAGCAGCATTCACTGTGACATCCAACTGGACAACACTTTGCACTTCAGTTACTTGTTTGGCTTGTAGAATCTGTGGTGATGTACAATAAAAGAAACTCTAGCTAGATGCATCTGATGAAGTAGGTTCTAGCCCACGAAAGCTTATGCCCAAATAAATGTGTTAGTCTCTAAGGTGCCACAAGGACTCCTCTTTGCTGATACACCCTAACACTGCTACCTCTCTGAAATCTAGCTAGAGAATTCCCAATATGGAAGCCAGAGGGAGCTAGGTATATATTAGGTTCCACATTACCTGGTGCCTGAAACCAAAGCCTGAGACTTGCCTATAATTTATGAAGCTCACTATCTTGTATGTTTATTCACACAGTTATTAAGCCTTGTCTTCATGTGCACTGGGCTCACTATAAAACCTGAGATGGAGTCTTGAAAGGTAGTCTAGTTCTCCCAAAGGCCTGGACTAGAGCATGCAGACATTACAATTTACTAGTAACGTTCAGATACAATTATTTTGTGGGTGGCCTGAACCATCTTAATTTGGGCTATTAGTTTTTAAGCTACTAGCCCAGCTGTGCTACAACTGAGGACATTTTAGGTCATTATTCTTACAGCCTTGCCCTCCATGCCAAAGATCTGTGCAGTCAATGGAGTGTACCACCCATGTATGCCTTGCCATTTCACATAGTCGGAGGTCATGGGAGAGAGTTGCCAAGGAATAGAACCGTGACTAATACAGTAAATGTGGCATAAAGAGGCCTCTTCCCTTTGCTATACATTGGAATTGAGAGCCTCTTGAGGCAACCTTACAGAATACTGCAAGCCAAAATCAAATTTTTTTTTGGACTGGTAAGTAAAAAAAAAATCTTCTCCCTCCCCATCATCTTACTAAGGGCAGACAGAGTCTGCTTGGGCTGGTAGATGTTTGCTGACCATTTTGCAAGGCATAAAGGTGTTTATTAAAGTTATTTGTATTATGGTCGTGCCGAGGCGCTCCGGTCACGGACCAGGACTCCATTGTGCTAGGTGCCGTATTAACACAGAACAAAGAGCGACTCCCTGCCCCAAGGAGCGTACGCTCTGTCCCTGCACTGTTCTCAGCTGTCCTGCAGTATGGAGGATGAGCCCCTAAGGAACTTGTTTCTTGGACAGTCGCTGTCGATCTCCCACTTTTATTATCATACCTATTTTGTTCGCCATTATACTGAAGATTGTGGAAAACGGGATACCGAAGTTGATCCCCCATCATGTTACATTTCTTCCACTGCAATTCTGCTTGTGTCCCTTGTCTGGGTTGCCATCCTCCCCAGCCGGCTAACAGCTGGAAGGGTGTGAATGCCACTTAGAGGGACAAAATTCTTTCCTCCTCTTGCCCCAGCAGTGGCCAGCACCAGCAAATGCATTTGCTTGTAACTCAGACACTATAGCATGTCTCCCCCTAGTGGTCAAATGACCTGGGCATGAGAGTGGAATCAATTTTGACCCTTTGGCAACCCTGTAGATCAGCAGGAAGGCTACATTGAGAAGGTGAGACGAGCATGTGGGCAGGAGCATACAGTGGGCATGGAGAGGAGACAGCCATTTCACACTGGATGCAGGAAACTGAGTGCAGAAACTGCCTAGCCTGCCTAGGAGGGGCTGCCTGCCTGCCTTAAAACCTACCCTCCAACCTCACAGTATTTAAGTTAAATATTGAAGGAAAGCTGGTATATTATGTATATTATGGCAAATCCATCTTTAAAGTATTAGATCTCTTTCCCCACAGGCTGCAGAGTCCAGTTTTCATGGAGAAATGCTAGCCATAGAAAATACAGGGGGAAGAGCAATACAGTAAATGTGGGCCATCACAAGGGACACGCTTGAAGCTGGACCATTTTCTACAGGCCATCAGAGTCGTCTTTAGGAAGTTTAATACAGGGAGGGCTGGGGCTACTCGGGCTGGGAAACGACAAATGGTTGTACGCCTAATTAGGAGACTGTTGGTTGAAAATAGAGCAGATGGTATTGAACTGATAAGATGTAAACAGCAGTAATAATTAGCACTAAGAGGGCTTTTAATTCGTAACTCATTCTCACAGCCCTCAAGCCCATTTGACAGAAGGGGAAGGTGAGGCAGGGTAAGTAAGTGGCTTGTTCAAAGTCACAGGAGGACACTGGAGACAGGCATTTTTGAGAGAGAGAGAGAGAGAGACTGATCTTAGATGGCCAGGATCAATCCAGTCCTCTGACTAGTCATTTTCTCCAACGTATTCGCCTAATAACTGTATTATTTAATTCAGGAGGGGTATTTAGTTGCTGACGTGTGCATGAGAAGTTGAACCCAGGGTATTTGTGAATTGCTCGATGCACTGGATTGAAACAGCTTGGAGGTATTGCACTGGGGGGCAAACCTCTTCCCTGCCTTTGTATAGTATGTGGCACAGCTTGGGATGTGCACGTTTGTTTATAGACTAGCACTGCCATGAGACATGTCTCTAGGCTGTTGAATGTGGTTACAATGTGGGGTATTATTAAGGGGAGTTTTCTTTGCAGGGGTTAGGGAACGGATGGGGTATTGCTCTGGGAGGGGTTAATGCAATTCCAATACCTTTTTCCATCCCATACTACCTTCAGTTCCTGGGATGTCCATTGAAGGGCGGGGCTTGTTGGTACTCCACAGCAGAGGGTAATGTTAAAATGTGTGGGACTGAAATGGCAAAGGGGGACTCTGACTAATGAATGGAGGAATGTTTCAGTGACAAGCCTGCCGACGGACCATGGACACGTTCCAGGATGTGTTCCAGAAGGTGGAGAAGATTGGGGAAGGCACCTACGGAGTGGTGTACAAGGCAAGGAACAAACGGACAGGCCAGCTGGTGGCTCTGAAGAAGATCCGTCTGGATTCGTGAGTGTCTGAAATCCACGCTCCCAACCAGGGTCCAGCTTACACTTTCCACCCTGAAGCCAGACCTCTAGGGTCATGCCAACGCTAGGGTTTGTAACCTTGTCTGATATGTTTTCCCAACACAGCTACTGTTGTAACATGGTTAGGCAACCCACATCACAGCAGTAAGAAGCCACGATAGTGCCCTGCTGGGCCTGTCTATAGCACAGTTTAGACCCCTTAGGATAAAAACCCGGTCTGTAAGGGAGCAGCAAACAGTGCTCTCTCCAGTCAAGCTTGAAATCGTTATCAAGCACAGCTGTGCCCAAACCATACTCGAGAATCATAATCTAGCCAGGCCTGTTTATGCTTCACTGTAGACAAGGCCTAACCTTCTTAACTGCACACAATCCTCACGCCTCATTCAAACTCACTGATCAGCATGACAAGCTAAAAGCTCCCTGACAGGAATGGGAAACATGCGTCAGTCTGAGAACAAATATTCTAAGATCAGTTTCTGTGGCACAGAAACTGGCCTGCTTTACACTCCTCGTCATAACATTCCCCTCTGCGTGCTCCTTCCCAAGCTGGTTTTAAAGCCGTTCTCTCCCTAGCATGGACAGCCTCAAACCAGGGCCAACACTTGTTGGAACTTGGCTAGGTTGACTTTGCGCATGCCAATGGGACAACCAGGGCTTGGGGCTCTCCCTCAGCCGTATAAAGAAAGGCCAGATTTTCAGGAGCACTCCTCACCCACGATGACATGTATGACTGAGCTCTTTTGAAAAGCTGGCCTCAGTTATGTGTGCTGAGCACTTGAAAATCTGATCCTGAGCTCTCCTGAAAATCTCGGCCTAAGTTGTCTAGATATATATGGAGAGGGTCCTAGATCGAGAAACCTTATATTTTCTGTCCGAAGCCCCTGTGGGTATCCACCAAAAAGAAATGTCGGAAAGGAAGATGTCCTTGAGCCACATGACCAGCTGAATTGGCATTTACCTGCTAATGTCACCCAGGAAATAATGGGATTGCAATAAAGTCTGTTTTCCCCACAGGGAGACAGAAGGGGTTCCGAGTACAGCAATCCGAGAAATCTCTCTGCTCAAAGAGCTTAAGCATCCAAACATTGTGAGGTAAGAGAAGCACTCAGTCTGGCCATGGACTTGGGGCAGTCAGGTCATTGCAATACGACTCATTCACAACTGATCAAGTGCAGTTGAGTCAAGCTGAGGAGCATAAAGATGTAAACAAATGTCTCCCAGCTTTGTGCGTGCCAAGTAAAAGGGTTGTTGATAAAAAGGCAACGGACAAGGCATTTCCCAGTCAGTCACTTATAAAAAAATGGTTTTCTGCTTGTTCTCCGCCATAACCACTCACTTGGCTATTTTTCAAACAGTAAGTGCCGATCAAAGTCCCTGAGTGTTATACAGTCATTACCCTGACACAGGACAACGGAAAAGGCCACAGTTCCGGTTGATGGATTGTATTTTTAGACACAGAAGCACATTAAGAAGTGTCTGGACCTTAAAAATCAGATGAACAATCGCGGTGAAGAGCGTGAATTAGCGTTCAAAGTGGAGCACGTTTACAAGTCCGTAGTCTTCATGTGTTTTTTCCTTCTGCGGTTGCATTAGTGCTGTAGAGAACTTAACAGCCTTTTTCTCCACTGGGCATCTTAAACGTTTTTTCCCCCTGGAAATTTCCTTAGTGTTTTTGTTTTTTTTGCTGAGCTAATGGAGAAGACGATTGTGGCTGCGAGACTTGGGTGGAAAAATTCAAATGCAGGAAACATGATGTAAAAATATGTCTGGGTGTTGACAATCAGACACCAAACAAACAGAAGTGGAGATAAATGGCTAAGGGAACCGAATGCCATGCTTTGGCTATGAAAGACACCAGGGTGTCTTACAGCAGGGTTCCAACTCTCGGCGGGTTGGTTAACTTCGCCCCTTTCCTCAGCATTAGCCAAGCTTTCCTGGCCAAGGCTTACTCCTTTCTGAAAGACCTTCGCAAGTGAGATTTCCTCTCCCCTCCTTAAAATCCAGGCCAGAGCTGCCGCTCAGGAGTTGCTATTTTGGAGAGCAGCAGCAGCAGAGGGCTGCAGGTGACAGTTACCCTTAACGAGATTCGAAGTACAGTTACACATTCATGAAAGAGCCACAGCCAGCCCGGGTCAGCAGACTCAGGCTCACGGGGGCTATAAATCTGCAGTGTAGACGTCCGTGCTCAGGCCTGGAGAACCCACGAGGGGGCGAGGGTCTCAGAGCCAAGGCTGCACATCTACACTGCAGTTTTACGGAGCTGCAGCCCGAGCCCTGGAAGCCCAAGTCAGCTGACCCAGGTTCCAAGACTCGGTGCTGTGGGATTTGTATTGCCGTGTCGATGTACCAATAGATTCCAAGGCCAGAAGGGACCGTTGTGATCATCTAGTCTGACCTCCTGTCCAGCACAGGCCGGAGAACTGCCCCACAATAATTCCGAGAGCCGAGCTCCCATCTGGATTTAAAAATGGTCAGTGATGGAGAATCCACCACGACCCACCTAATGTGTATTGGCTACATTTTTGCTTTCATCAGGCTGTCCTTGTTCTTTTCAGGAATGTCCATTCACATGCAGGCTGGTTTGCCCCCCCCCCCCAACTCTTCCCTCCAGTCTTACCAGACACAAATGGCCAGCTCCTCAACTGGCATAGCTCTGCCTTTCAATGGAGCTATGCCAAGTTACACAAATTGGAGATCTGGCCCTATTGTCCCATTTACAAACTAGCTGCTGCTAATATAATGTAGAGAAGTTAGATAATAGCTAGTAAGGCGCGAGGCATTTCAAATAAATCCTATTCCATTCAGCTGCTGAGGAAAAGAAGCTAGCAGAGGGATTGCTAGAAGAGAACCCTATATATATTACCCACTGTCCTGTTCTACCGCTTCTTTCATTACAGAAATAAGTATCGGTTTGGAGCACTGCTGTATAAAGCTGGTCGGGACTGTTTTTAATAAGACAGGTTGTGGTTGTGTTTTGTTCTTAGGCTTCTAGATGTTGTGCACAGTCAGAAGAAGCTGTATCTGGTGTTTGAGTATCTGAATCAGGACTTGAAAAAGTACATGGACTCGTCTCGGACAGGGGAGCTCCCGTTAAGTTTGGTAAAGGTACAAAGTTTAGAGAAGTAAGAGTGCCACCTTGGCAAAATACCTACAGGCGGTTAAGGCCGTGTTTATACCTGCTGCCCTCTGCTGGATGGACCCAGAACTGCTCAGCTGTGTGTTAGACTTTATAGCGATAGGGGAAATTGTTGGTAAGCTGCCATAGTAATTAACTGACTCCCACGAAAAGCAGTGGGAGCTGTGAGAGCTCAGCACCTCTGCAAGTCAGGCCCAAGGTGCTGTTTGATCTGAACAATTCTAGACAGTATTGTCTGGTTCGTTAATTTCCTAGCCATTTCCAGACTTCTCAGCTTGGTGGACCAACAACAAAACAAAGTGAAGTTGGGGGAGACAGTCCAGGGAGCTACTGCTAATTATTTTTATAATGAGCAACATGCTGCTGGCAGTATCAGTGTCAGCACACCGTGGATTTGACTCCTTCCCTCCCCGAGACAGCAGGGACAGGAATATTTCAGCGTCTTGCTGGGTTGTGGTCAGAACCTCTGTCGTGGGCTTGGATGGAGCTGGAGTGACAGTATCTGGGCTGTGGGGGAGAAGTTAAGAACATAAGAATGGCCCTGCTGGGTCAGATCAAAGGTCCATCTAGCCCAGTATCCTGTCTTCCGTCAGTGGCCGATGCCAGGTGCCCCAGAGGGGAATGAACAGAGCAGGTCATCATCAAGTGATCCATCCCCTGTCGCTCATTCCCTGCTTCTGGCAAACAGAGGCGAGGGACATCATTCCTGCCCATCCTGGCTAATAGCCATTGATGGACCTATCCTCCATGAATTTATCTAGTTCTTTTTTAAAGTTATTTTGCAACTGTGAAATATTTTCCGTACAGACGTTGGACACTTCCTTAATGAAGATCTACCGTATTTCAAAGGTTGTAATTTAAACAAGCCCAGTTTTCCACATTGTCTCATTGCATGGATGTCTGAAATCTCTCCTTTTAGAGCTATCTGTTCCAGCTGCTGCAGGGTGTGAATTTCTGTCACTCGCACAGAGTCATTCATAGAGACTTAAAGCCTCAGAATTTGCTTATCAATGAAGTGGGAGCCATCAAACTGGCAGATTTTGGTCTGGCTAGAGCCTTCGGGGTTCCACTGCGGACTTACACTCACGAGGTAATGGCTGTGTCCCATCTGATCTAAGGTGCCTTCACCTGGGTATTTTAGTGCCACTCTCTCTCTCTGGTTTATCTAATCTGAATTATTTGACTCCTATGAAAAATAATGTAATCTATGAATTTCTAATACGCCCATCACTGTAAAATCTGTGTATCGTTCACTACAGTGGCCTGCCCTGTTGATTACATGACACTTCCTGTGTGGTTGGAAAGGGCATAGATGGATGTTGTACATAAAGAATCTTTCCAAGCTGAACACAGCAGGAACTGTCCCTTGCTAAGAGCAGAGAACTGTGTGTACCTGCCAAGTGAAACTAGACTAAAGAAGGGGTAGTCAATAGGTGCATCGTGGGCCAAATCTGGACCACCAGACGCTTTTGAACAGACCCCAACATCTTATTTACTTTTTTTTTTTTTTTTTTAATTTTCTGGTCTTGAGTCTGGACCTCGACAAAAAATAATTGTCTCCCCCTGGACTAATGCTTTTGTTTTGGTTTCTTGTAGGTGGTAACCTTATGGTACCGGGCCCCCGAAATCTTGCTGGGATGTAAATACTATTCGACTGCAGTGGATGTCTGGAGCATTGGCTGTATCTTTGCAGAAATGGTAGAATAGGTTTAACCACTTTCTAAGCGAATGGTCCCTTCTTTTTAACATCTCAAGCCGGTTCACGCTTACCCATTTCTTACCATGGTCCTGGGCGGCACTGGGAATACACCATGGAAAAGGCGGCTAGGAAGTCAGCAGCTTCTTAATTGTGCGTTCAGAGCAAAATTCACTCCCCGCAGGCAGGCCCCAGCACAAGAACTAGCCCCCACTTACAGCCCATTTCTCTCTGTATGCAGGTTTAAATCTTCCAAAAACTGCCCTCTGCAGCAGGGTGGATTTTAACCCACACTGGCCAAAACGGGACATATGGTCACAAGAGTCCCTTTTGAAGCCCTGTCCTGGCTGCCCCAACAATTCTGGTAAAACTGGGCATTTGTCCCATTTGCTCTGGCCAGCTGATCATCGGTTGACAAGAACAAACGGGACAAACGCCCACTCTTGCCTTTTGCCTAGCGGGGTGCAGAGGAACATGCCGGGGGGAGAGCGGCAATGCCAGCCCTGCGTGGGAGGGAGGCCTTGGGAGAGCAGCTTGGGCTGAGCCAGCCCTGTGTGGGTGGGTGGGCAGCAGGGGCTCTTGGGCTGGCCCATGCGGGGGGTAGAGGCGGGCCTTGGGCCGGCCCCACGCAGGTGGGCTCAGGGTGGCCCCAGGCTGGTGGCAGGAGGGCCTCAGGCTGGCCCCGTGCGGTGTCCTGTTTTCCCTTTGGGGAAATATGGTCACCCTACTTTAACCTCAGTGCTTGGATAGGTGCTGCTAAGAGCTGGGTGCAGGAAGAAGACTGCATTACAGAGCTCGTGTCCACCTACGTCTGAGGTTCTCACGCTGTGGTATGCGGAGAGCTGGCATTTCACCTCACATGCCAAAAAGTCTGGATTCCTTTAAAAGCAGCTTGGAACAAGGAGAAGACGGACCTAGCTGCCACCACTAGGGGCTGCTGCTACATTAGAGGGGCAGAAGCAGAGGATGCCATCAGGGAACAGAGCCATCAACGGGGAGGGAGCTTGTGCAGCTGGACACAATCTGCAAGGGGATCGGAGAAGGGGACCAGGCGGTAGAGAAATATGCGGAGGGGAACGCGCATGTGTTTGTACCTATACGAGAGAGTCAGGAACAGAGCCTGGGGTGGGGGTGGTGGAATGCAGAGGACAAGCAGATGCAATGTTATTTAACTTTCCCAAACACTTACTGTATTCTAGACGGTCACTAAACACTTCCCTAGTGTTACTTTGCCATGGGCGGGATTGCCTTACGTGAGAGACGAACGTTATTCTTATTAGGGAATAATGTGAAGGAGACTTAATGGCCTGGATCTGGCACTTTTGTTGTTCCCAGGTGACAAGAAAAGCCCTGTTTCCGGGGGATTCTGAAATTGACCAGCTCTTCCGGATTTTCCGCACCCTGGGCACACCCACCGAGGCAGCGTGGCCGGGGGTGACCCAGCTTCCCGACTATAAAGGAAACTTTCCCCGGTGGGCGAGAAAAGAGATGAAGGAGATCATTCCGAACTTGGATCGGGATGGGCGAGACTTACTGGCGGTGAGTTCTAGGCAGGCGTTGAGGGGCTCAGCTCTTTCCAGCAGGGCAGAGGGGGAGAATGTGTTCAGCTGAAATGACGAATAGCAGGTCAGGTGGTGTGTGTGTTTTGCCTCACCCCTGAACTGTACGCTTGTATTTTGGAGCCATTGGACACAAAGGTTCCCGCATGGGAAGAGGGATTAGTTCTACTGGGCGGTTACACTATGATCGTAACGGTCTCTTTTGGCCGTAAACGCTATGAATCTTTTCTATTCAGGTTCCTGTAGCACATGCAGCTCTGTGGTATCTGAGCACCTAAAAAGATTCAGAGGGCTGGAGTATTGGGGGGATTGCTGTTTTTCTCTTCTAACGTCCCTCCTATGTCTTGCACACTGAAAAACGTACAAACTTAGGCTGTATGTGTGATGACTGCACATAGAATCTTGTTCTTAACAACAGATTCCCAGCCCCATTCAGCATCAGAGCTAGTGACTTAGGTTGCTAAGTGCTACCCAGGAGCTGTGGTGCAGGATGGGTGTGTATTGATCAATCTCAATACACACTCATGCTGTAGTGTTTTTTCCCCTTAGTAAATAGGGTAAGAAAATCCTCCAGTCATGGAGCAGCTGTTTAAAACTACCCTTAGTAGAACCCTCTAGGAATCATAAGCTGGTCGAAGGGATTTCACCATTTACAGTGTTCCTTTGCCTGTGATTTTTTGATCCAGGAGGACGGGTTATTGGGCAGTGATTAACCGGGGGGGCGGAGGAGTACTATGAAGCACAACTGCAGCAGTGTGGCCAGCGTGCTCGTCTGGAACAGACTCCTACCCTGCACGTGCTCGGGGCACAATGGGCCGGCTCTGACCCAACTCAGACAGGCAAGGGCCATGACTGCAGCCCATAGAGGACATTTTGGGGTGCCCTCCTTTTTCTAAATAATTGGGAAACCATGTGGCTTGGAGGTTGGGCAGCAGTCTAGCAACTAGCAGATCTGGGTTCCGTACCAAGCCCTGCTTCTCTATGACCTTAGGTGAATCACAACGTCTGTGGACCTCAGTTTCCACATCTGGAAAATGGGGATATCAATCTCTAGCTACTCAGCTTGGATATTGCCACACCAGATTAAAGTCAGGAAAGCCCTCTTGGGCCAGCGGATAAAGGCACCATATAATAATTGGTTCTCTTTGGAGGCCAGAGTCTAGCAGAGGGGAAGCGACATTGGCTTGCGCTATTTGAAAGCTTTTGCATTTTGTTCAATTAAACATCCTGCTTTCAAAAAAAAAAAAAAAAAAAAACAAAACCCCAAATCCTCTTGGTTTTCTTTTGCAGCAATTGCTACTGTATGACCCCGACAGGCGCATTTCAGCCAAGGCAGCCCTGAACCACCAGTACTTCTTCTGGCAAAGCCCCCGCGACCCCAAAGACCAGCACGTGCTGCAGAAACACTGCAGATGAAAGGATGCAGCGCCCCCTGGCCTCCTGTATTTCTGATGCTGAGCTCTGTGCATCAGTGCATTTTCCCTCTCTGGTGGCTGAGCAAAGAGGCTGGCTGGGGTTGAAATGCCTCCGTATTACAAAGGAAGCTGGAGGGAAGTGTTAGTTCTCATTTAGACAGAGGTGTTTGGATTCTATCAGCCCATTGCTGGGGGTATGTGTTAGGGCCGTTAGAGCCTTCTTGAGGTAGTTGTTACATGTGATAGGGACGGGCCTGAGGGCACCATCCATCAGCCTGCAATACTGACTGGGGGACACTAAATTCTCACACTAGAGAGCAACTTCAGAATCCTTGTCCCCTTGGCTGGGAGCGTAGCAAAAGTGATGGTTGGTGCAATGTAGATTGCCTGTCTTTACAGCACCCAGTCCTGGCTGTAGTTCAGATAGCCCATTGCAAAGAGATTTGTCAGCTTCCCTCCCAGCATCAGGCAGTGCTTGACCTAAAGCAGCCGGGAGAGTCTCCTGCAGACAGCCAGGAGTGCCGCTGTTTATTGCTATTAAGAAGAAGAGGGGCTGTTAGTATTAGATAAGTCTTTGTATTCAATTGTTTAAGAATTTTAGAGTTTTAATTCCGAGTTAAACAGCAAGTGAAAATATCGTAAGAACGATCTTCATCGTGCGCGAAAGAGAAGCCAAAGGCTCCCACGATGGCAACGTGTGAAGTCACACAGTTCTGGAGAACATGCCCTTTTGCTGGCCAAACAAAAGAAGTTGAGTCACTTGGGTGGCTTTGAAAATATTTTACTGTTTATCTTCCGAGCGATTTAGCACCAGTTTTTGATGCATTTGTGGGACTTCTCTCCTCCAGTAAAGAAAATAAACACTGTTCCTCAGTCTTGGTTGTTTATGTTATAGGCTGCTCAATTGTTCAGCCACCCCCTGGACCAGGGCAGTGATGGAATCTGACATTCTCTCCTGTATGCCAAAACTTCGACCTGTGTCCACAGCACCGGCCTATCCAGCTGGTCCATTTCTTTATTACAGGCCTTCTCTTTTCCCTCTGTCACCTTCTTCATTCAGGGCAGAACGGTCAGATGCTGATGCATCCGACAGTGTTTTGTGGAATAATGGACAGAGAACATAAAGATATCGCCGCTGCAGGGAGAAACGGAGTTTCTTTCAAATAAAAGCTGGTATGAGTCTAAGTTTTATTTTCTGAAATACTCTGAGGACAGATGAGTTACTTTGTTCCATATTTTGTTTTCCAACCTGCCGTAAAAAGGGGGCTGCAGAGACTCTGATAAATGAATTAAACAGCATTACTCTATGGGGATCTATATCCTCTTTCTCCAGCTGTGGAAGGTAACTGCGGTCAAGCAGCAGTGTAACGCTGAACCAGCGGTGTACAAGTTTGTACTCTCCCCCTTTTGCCATATCTCTGATTCATAACAGAAACCCCTGCACCTCTTTCAGCATTACTCTAGGGGGAGCTATATCCTCTTTCTCCAGCTGTTGAAGGTAACTGCGGTCAAGTAGCAGTGTAACGCTGAACCATTGGCCTTTTCTTCCCCAGTACCAATCGATCTTGTACTCACAGTGCAGATTTGGAGGCCAGCAGGGATATCTAAACCCTCTCATTCCTATCATTGGATTTTAAAAATCCCAGAGACAAGGTAGGTGAGGTAATATCTTTTATTGGCTCAACAGAAGTTGCCTCACACATTTTGTCTCTCTAATGTCCTGGGACCCATATAGGTACAACACTGCCAATAAAACAACCCATTGGCAGAAGACCTCGTGGAACAGCTGCCTTAGGAGAGCTAGGCTGTCCACATTCAAGGATTACTTTCAGATTTGCTCATTCCTAAGGAATGAGGACCCTGCTGAATCCTCATTCATAGGTGCTGGAACTAGCATCCCCTGGTTTGAAGTGGTTTCCATTATATTCAGGGTTTAGTTTGGTTCAGTAGCTCTCAGCACTCCCACTATACAAATACCCCCAGCGCTCCTGTCCTCATTGCCGCTCTCCTAGGAAAGCGGCAGCTAAGACTGTCACAAAAATAGTGGGTGCAAGGTTGTATTTTAGTGACATTTTATAGTCTCTAAGTGCTAAGCACTTGTAGAGGCAAAGTATTTCCTAGATATAGATGAATGATGCCAAAAGAATTCTTTGCAGCTATTTATTCCAATTTTTAAGTCACTTTGATTGGACAATGCTGGGTTTGTTTTTAAGCAGTACATGGGGAGTAGTACCTGTGTTCTCATCCAATCCTGGAGGGGAGAGAATACCACGTGACTTATCTGACCCATGCCAATCAAGCAACACAACTTGCATGTCAAACATGAATGACCAATTCCTAGAGTAATGATGTGTGTCAGTTACCCTTTTGAATAGCAAATCTGAGAAACTCATGACCTGCTCATGGAAATTTCATGAGAAAGAAAAGAGGCAAAATCTGCTAAATAAGCTAGTTCAGACTTTGTTGCCAAATCTTTAGCTGGAGGGAACCCCTAGCCCTGTGGAACAGATTGAAATACTGGTGTGATGCTCACTGCTGAAATTCCAGGACTGTGTGATGTGGTGCGGTGCATGAACTGTTCATTGCCGATCCTGAGCATCTTTGGGTCAGGAAAGTGGACTGGGGTCAGTAGCGCAATTCATACCTAGTCCTTTTAAGGGGACTGCAAGCTGAACACAGTACACCAGAGACTGCTTAATCAGCTTCCTGCCTCTAAACCAGTTTGCCCATCCCTTGGTAAATATCTGTTACTCCTGACAGTAAATCAGAAAGCAAATTATACAGAGCAATTAAGTATGCACCTAAGTTACAAAACTCACAATCATTTAATTACACTGTATTTGTCAGCACCGAAGGGCAATTATTTAACATTTTTAAAGCATGCGAGGTTTCAGAGTAACAGCCGTGTTAGTCTGTATTCAGAAAAAGAAAAGGAGTACTTATGCTCAAATAAATGGGTTAGTCTCTAAGGTGCCACAAGTACTCCTTTTCTTTTTAATGTATGCGAGGGGGCATGTCCCCTTAGTGAGCTGGGAAAGGGAGCAGCATAGGGGTGAATGGTGCTGCAGGTTTTTTAGCCCTTGCCGACAGATGATTAACTGAAAGAAAGGTTGACTCACCTGTCCAGGAAAGCTCAGAGGTTGCAGCACAGTTACACCATCTGCAGGGGAGACCCTTAGCTTCCTGAGCTGCAGACCCTGGAGAAATACCCGAGAGTTGTTATACAGCTGCTGGAAGACAGAAGGAGGCTACGACCTGAGGCAGCTTTAGAGGGGGAGGTACTCTGTAATTGGCTGGCTACAAGCCTGCTGGGAATCTGCAGGGCTATAAAAGCCCGTTAGCTGGTGCAGGGTAGAACAGGAGCTAGCTCTGGGAGGCACTAAACCAGGAACCTGACTGAAAGCATGTAAGATTCTAGTGTACCAGTCAACTGCCTTCATTCATGAGCTGAATGTCTGTCTGCCCCCTGTTCAAAAGACCCAGGCAACCATCACAGGAAATCAACTGACAAGCATCTGATTCCAACCCACAGATGATTAGAGAAGTTTAAAAAATCCTGACAGTCTCCTGCACCCATTAGGACAGGGTACAAGCACTTTGAATCATGAAATGCAGAAGTGATCCTTTCATTTCAGCAGGGGTTGAGCACTGTAAAAAGGCACTTGGCCCAAGTCCCATTGACGTTCACTCCTCCGTGTCTAACTCACTTAGCCACTTCTGGAAACATTATGCTGGGTCTATAGTGTTAAGGAATATAGGGCCAGCTCCTCAAAGGCACCTAAATGACCAGGGGAGTTGGATGCCCACATACCTTTGAGGATCTGGGCCCTGGTGCTTAAGACAGGTGTGTTTAGATCTACACTGAAGGGTGGGTGGGGACATCCTCCATTTTCAAAGATAACACAACAGTGGAGAGACACCTTCTAGTTTTATTGCGTGCATAAGAATGAACAAACTTGGGAGCACATTAGCCCCTTGACACCCTCCCCCCACTTCAAGGTGACAGGAAGTCACACAGTTTAAACTACTACAAGCATATTTGTTGAAACAAAATCCCCATTACTCTCCAAACCGGGCACAGATGCCTGTGCTAGAACCCCTTCACCCCAATGAATGCCTTGTCTTCCTCTGTTGCCCCAGTTATGGGGAAGCAAGATTAGCTCACTAGACTAGTACACAGCCAGAAACGCTAGGCAGTCTGTTCATCTGTGAGTACCACAGGGGCTTAAGATCATTGTGGAATTGGCGAGAACATGGAGCTTGTCTTAGTGCCTGAATCGTGACAGCATGGGAGAATGGTGCTCGGGGCGATGAAACTGAAATCCCTCGGAGGCAGCTGGGAGCAGCAGCAGGCCGCTCAGAGGATCTTTCCGGCAATGAGTCATGGCTTCTTTGTAATTCATCTTTTCCTTGGTGACTGGGTCAACAAGATCCTTCTCGTAGTTGGGCTCATCCTGGAGCATCTTCGCCAGGTCATCGCTAATCATGCCTGTCTGGACAGCTTCTGACACTGGGATGCGACCGGTTTTCTTGGGATCAATGAGCCCCCCGGTCAGGTGTTGGACCTGTAGGTAGGGGAAGGCACTGTCCTTGGTCATCCATCCTTTCTGAACTGCCTCCCAGACAGACAACCTCCTCTTGGTCACTGGGTCCTCTACACCTGTGAAAGCTTTCTGGGCGTTCAGCAGCCTCTGCATATAGGTGTTGTCTATCAGCCCTCTGTCTATGGCTTTGTGGACAGAATACCGATCCCACGTGATGAGGTCTACAATGCCCCCAGTTGCAGCCTGGGCCTCCAGCAGCTTTTGAGCGGTCATGGGATCCACCATCTTCTTGATGACAGCAGTTCTTATGTTGCACTTGGTGTCGGTGGCAGTGTCGAACACTCCGGCAATGGGAAAGGTGTCATCGCAGAAGCTTTTCTGCAAGCTCGGAGGAAAGAAACTTTGGGTCTTCTGCTGCATTGTCGGAGATGTAAGTGGAGACTTGGAGATGATGGAGCCAATGGACATAGAGGAGGGAGGCTTGGCTTCCCCTGCTACCAGCAGAGCAAACTCCGAGATTGGGATCTTGCCATCCCTGTACAACTGGTACTCCTCTTTCGTAATCTTCCTAAACCTCAGGGCATCCTCGATGGAGTATTGTTTCCCACTCTTCCTGTCGAGGAGGACAGAAACATCCCCGTTGGGGCCCAAGGTAGTGATTTCCTCCCAGTCGCACTCTAATTCTTGCAGCTGGATGTATTGGTTTCTGTCTATGGTTCCTCTTTTGTAGGCCTCATAAGGAGACATATCCTTCCCCGTCTCAGGGTCCACAATGGAGATTTTAGTGGAGAGATTAGTCTCTCTCATCTGGGTCTCGTGGCTCATTTCTTCCCGGTTGACCCCAGACTGGAGTTCCCGGATGGACCTTTCTTTTTCGTAGATCTGGTCCTTCTCCCTTAGGATAGCTTCCTCCAGGAGGGAAAGTTCTTGCTCACGCTGCATCTTTTTTTGCCTGTCATTCTCTGTCTTTTGGCTGAGGAGCTTGGACTCCTCTCGGAGGATGAGGACTTTCTGCTGCTTCTGTCTTTCCAGTTCCCTGAGCTCACTCTCCAGGTTGGCTCTCTCTTGAATTGCCAGGTTTCGTGCTTTCTGGAGATCAGCTTCCTCACGGGACCAGGTCCTTTTCATGCCTTCAGCTCTCTCTATTTTCTCCTTGAGTCGTCGTATGTCCTCTTCTGCATTTTGCCGTGCAGTTCTCTCTCTGCTCAGCAGCTCCCAAATCCGTGCACGTTCATTCTCTAGCACTCTGTCTTTCTCCACTCTGATAACCTCCTTGTAGATGGTCTTCTCCTGCGATTTTGTTTTCTGCAGAATGTCAGTCT